CCTTGAATGATGGGATAGTAGACTAAAAGCTTTAGGAATCCAAACTATAACATAATAACTACCCTGTATCAAGATTGATGCAAAAACGATATTCACTCTTAATAGTTTGATCGGTGCTCTCTATAAAGGCCGATCAGGAGAGCTGGATCTGATCGATATGGACATAAACGGGAGTGAAGTGTAACCGGACCCGAGAGAGAGATCAGATCAGCTGCTGAGTCTGACAGAGACACGCAGCTCTGCATGATCACCTGAAGCCCCGCCCACTGTTTAGCGAGCTGCATGACAAACTGACGGGCTGTCAGGAGAGTGGAAAAGAGAGCATCCGTTTCTCCCGTGTTATTATTCAAAGTTAATGTAAACTTTTGAATAATGTACTTCATCTACTACAAGTAGTTTATTTGAATGTAATAATTATGTTGTTTGTGGAATCATTTTCATTTATTGAAAAATGAATCTGAACTTTTCGATTTGTAACGATTATAAACTGAAGCAATATAAAAATGAGCCCCATTAACTGAGTTTCAGCATATCCGGTCATAGTCCGGTGATTACCTGCGAACGGAAACTCTGCTACACCATTCTTATTATTATTATTATTGAAACATGACCGGTAAGTTTCAAATTTGTCCGGTAAAATAAATTCTGTCCCGACATATCAGCTTACATTCATAATGTCAGCGGAGGGAGGGGAAGCGGCGCTGTGGAAGAGCAGAGTGGCGAGGGAGAGCTGTCATCTTCCGTTTACAAGCTTCAAACATGTATTTATCGTTTGATTTTGGAAATAAAAATGTCATATTCTGAAAGCCAAGACTTTGTTTATTTAGAATCAAACAAAACACCGAAACCCGAAAAACTAGTTTTTTACGCAAATGCACGTTTATTTTGAAATGAGCCGTTGCGACTTCCGACTGATTTCGATAGAGCGGGTCACATATGGCAAATGTGTGGTTGGGGGGAACCAGGTCAATTAAAGTACTTATTTAACTATTAAATACATTGAGTTTGAGTAAAAATATATATTAAATTGCAAAGCAAAACATGCTGTAATTGATTTATTTTGTCCTTTGGTATTTTTTAAGGGTTTTCAACCTGAAAGAATCCTAATGTGTTCTTGAAAAGTTGAAATAAAGAAAAGGAACAAGGATTCCAGTTGTCCATGCATCCTCTGTTGCCCCTCACGCCTCTCAAATGTGGGCAAACACTCAAATAAATGCCAAAAACCCCAGAGAACTTGACAATACTTATCAGAATAAAAGTATGTTAAATAACACTGCTACCTAGTTAATAACTCTACTTTACTCAGTGGAGGCTCGTCCATTGAGGAAAGGGAGGACCATCCTCCCTAACATTTCAGAGAAGAATAAACTTTGAAGAGAACAATAAATACACCTCAATTTAAAAGATAAGTCTGTTAAAATACAGATAATAGCCCTGGCTTTGGGACTGAAAAGGGGCTAGAGAGGACGAGCCTCCCTTTGGGCGGGTCTAGCCAGAGGCTCTGGATTGGGCGCTTATATCATCAGTGAACCAATAAGCGGATCTGACTGCGCATCAGAGTGTTGATGGGGAGGGTCATCAGAGTTTTTTCTGAACCGGGGAACAGGGGCGCTGCGCCCTCTTACCAAAATAAATTCCTTGAATTAGGCTTTGATTATGTTCTGGCCCGCCATTACATTACATTGCATTTAGCTGACGCTTTTAGCCATCTTGCGGCTCAGCAAAAAATTGGCCCACGGCCAAACTTACTTACCCCCTGCTGTAGGGGGTGTGGAAACAATAGCCATGCAGTGAGCAGTGTGCTATGGCATGGATATTCAAGTGTACTTGAACGGCATCTGTTTGTTTTAGTCAAGATTATGCTAAAATATACTTTCCCCAACTATATTTAAGTTCCCTATGAAGAGCCAACCTTCAATTTGGAACATTCCCAGTTTATTCCCATAAATTCCCGTTAATTCCCATGGAAAGTTTCCATCTTTGAAAATTCCCGGAATTTTGCAACCCTAATAATAACACGGGAGAAATTAGCGGAAGCGCTCTCTTTTCCTCTCTCCCTCTCTTGACAGCCTGTCAGTATCTCATGCAGCTCACTGATCCAGTAATGAGTGACCCGACAGTGAAGAATACATATATGTATAACTAGTTTAGCTAGTTCCAGAGGTTTCGCTCACTGCAGGATTTCTGCTTCACACACGTTGCATACCGCTATTTTACTGTCTTTTTCAGACACCTTAAAATAATGCCAGACCGGCGAAGCCATTCTGGCGAGCTTGTTTTGCCGTTTAGAGCATGTTTAGAGAGCACCGATCGATCGGTAGAGAGTGAGTATCGGTCGATCTCGATCGGTGACCGATCGATCGGAACATCCCTAAAGACTATATTAACTTCTGTGTTCCCACTAAAGAAATACAAATCTATCCAAGTAATGAATCATATGTGACTAAGGACATTACAAAAAGTTATAAAAACCAGGAAAATAGCTATGGGAGCACTTAGACAGAGAAAGAACTGAAAGTCAAATTGAGGGAATCAAAACACAGAGAGCTTTTGGGAAATGCTTTTAAAGCCAAAGACCACAAAAAAGTGTGGGACACCATGAGAACCATGACAGGAATGACCTCTTCAGCGAAACCTATTGTGACGGACAAGACATACTTGATCCATACCAATTTGCCTATAAGCAAGGGGGTGGTACTGTTGCTACTCTGGTTCATATCATCACTAAACATTTAGATAAACGTCACACCTATGCAAGAGCCCTCTTCCTAGACTTCTCAGCAGCAACACAATACAAGCAGACATGTTGGTGCCAAAAATGGCCAAAATTGAAGTAAATCCATACCTGATTTACTGGTATGCCGCTTTCCTCACCAGTAGAGAGCAACTTGTGAAGGGTCTGAATATCTCTACGGTTGTGGTGACTGATGTTGCACTCTCTGACCATTCCTGTGTTTTCTTTGAGAGCTCTATTTCTGTTCACAAAAATGTTCAAAAAGAGGTAACCACAAAGCGATATTTAACTGAAAATACTAGGGAAATGTTTAATCAGAATGTTTCTTCCACACTTGCCCCTGCTAACATCTCAGTAAATGAGCTAGTAGATCATTTTAATTCAAAAATAAAAATGTTATAGATGCCATTGCTCCAACTAGGTTAACGGAAGTGACTGGCAAGAAAATATCTTCATGGAGAAAGGCCATGACCGTGAAAACAGAAAAAAGAGAGTGTCGAAAAGCTGAATGTAGGTGGAGAAAAACAAATCTCCAGGTTCATTTTGAAATCTATAAAGAGAGACTTGGCTTTTATAATTTGGAATTGAAAATTGCACGACAATGTTTCTTCTCTGACATCATTGCCAAAAACAAAAACAACGCACGTGCCTTGTTCGCTACCGTCGACAGACCAACTAACCCCCCAGTGTCAGTAGCCTCTGAACTTCTATCCACCAGGGCGTGCAATGATTTTGCCTTCTTCACTGACAACATTCAGAGAATCAGACAAGCAGTCAGTGCCTCTGCATCACACTCAAAAAAATGATTCAAGCCCTTCTTAGACTTGACACATTAAAAATTGTTTCACTTTACTTAAATATTTTTATTTAAGAAATAAACCTAAGTATAGTTCATTAGTGTAACACAAATTACATTAATCAATTCACTTATTAAATGTATTTAAGACAGAGCAACTCAAAATGAATTGTTTTCATTGGGGACCGCCCCTTTGCACACCCCCTTTGCGTATGCGCAACATCCGTTCTGTCATTTGCCGCCTTTTGTCTAACACTGACTGTGGAAACTGACTGGGGAAACTGACGGTGGAAAGTCTATTATTTGGTAAGTATTTGTTTTTTCTAGTAGTTTAGAATGTTCCCTGTTTCCAAGTAATGCCTTTTCATAATATCGACAAGAATATTTGAAACCACCTTGTTATATTTTGCTCCGTGTTTAGTTGGGTCTAAACAGCAAGCTAGCTAGCTTGCTAGATATGGTTAGCATTGAATACTGGATAGTAGAGATCATTAGATTATATTACATTAGATTTAACGTTATTGTCATTGAACACAGTACACCGAAATTCAGTTTAAGTTCAACCAAAAAATGCAAAGAGTAATTAAAGTGCATGAGGTAAAGCGGCAAGCTAGCTAGCCAGATAACTGGTTTGTTAGCTAGCTTGCTAGATACGGTTAGCATTGGATACTGGATAATGGAGATCATTAGATTATATTACATTCGATTTAATGTTATTGTCATTGAACACAGTACACCGAAATTCAGTTTAAATTCAACCAAAAAATGCAAAGAGTAATTCAAGTGAATGAGGTAACAGTATAGGAGGCAGAGCCTGCATGCAGCCCAGCAAGGGCTGCCATTTTCTATCATAAAGCTCAGCAGGTCTGTCCATCTCTCTCCTGGCCTTAGTGCAGGCAGAGGAGGACAGGCGGAGCCACTCGTTTCTGTAGGAGTTCAGTTGAGTTGAGTTTTTTACTGCCAAATATTTAATATAAATAATGAGATAATATATATGTGAATCTTGTATGGGTTACCTCACTCACAAGCAGGCACCCAGAGTTGTGCAGAAACGTTTTTTGGGTTGTGCAATCTTAGGCAATTATGTGTTTTCTGTGAAAATTCAAATATATAAGCATTTTAATCACACCTCTAAAATATATTTGTTGTCTTTTGCAGTTTGATCAGCATTAACAAGCACCTTGTGGAAACCTCTTATTTATGGTAAGTACACGGCTACTTTCACAATACTTGCATAAGCTGATCTGTGACATTGTCAGTTGTTCAGTGTCAATTGCTAATTCTATTTTTTCTCTTTTTCAGGTTATGCATGTGGCAAACACTGCAGTTTGGAACTAGCTAGCAGGTATTTGTTGTTAAAACATTTCCAGCAGACACATGCACATTTAAGGGGCAGTTAAACTGTACAAATATTTGTATGTTCATCTTTGATATAATCCTAATGTGTTTCTTTCTTGTTATTCTTTCACCTTGTTTCTGCTCTAGATTAAAAGGTGTTCCATAACGGCAGGTCGGGCGCTTCTGCGCATCATCTTTGCCGACCAGTCTGACTCTAGACAACTGACCCTGGATTCGGGAATCCCAGCAACAGTTGAAGAACTGCACACATTTGTCAAGACATCTCTTCAATTGAAAGAGGACTTCCGTCTGCAATACATGAATGTTGACTTTAACGAGTTCATGAATCTTACATCAGTGTCTGAAATTCAGGATAAAAGCACACTGAAAGTAATTTACTCTCCTATATTGTCAAATATTGAGCCCTCCATCACTTTGTACACAGTTGACTCATTTGATAAGACCTCAATTACTGGAAGCTCAGAGCCTCTAATCCCTGCATCATCAATAGCCTCATGCTGCAGTGACGATATGGTGTATACGTCAACCCCGCATCCATCCCCTGAAGCTCAGGCCTCACAATTGTTATCCTGGCCCACAGTTTTTGTGGTTCCTAAGCTCACCTACGAGGCTGAATTTGAGCTTCATCTACAGAATGCAGAGTTTGAGACAACTGGTACATACTTCCAGCCTGGCCTAAAGCTGAAAGGAGTCATTCTTGATGGCCTAGCCCAAGAAATGATCAAATTCACAAAATATCCAAAAGACTATCAGTGTGAAGAGGTAGCTGCAGCGTTGACGAGGGCCCACCCTTGTTTGGGGCAGCTAGGATCCAAGACAGGATTTGGGGGGTGGAAACAGTCTCTTAAGTACAAAATGCAAAACTATCGTACAAAGCTTGGCCGTCTTGGACATCCTGAAATCCTTGTGAACTCCTTAAAGCACAAGAAAACAGGCCAAGGCAAAGCTGCAGCAAACATAAAAAAACCAAGAAAAGCTGAAATAAACTACATTCCTCTGCACCCAAAAGGCGAAACCACAGAAAGCTTGGAGAACGAGAGAATTGCCTTATTGTCAGAACTGAAAAAGCGTGACAATGAAGTGGTGATAAAAGCAAAAATGGAAAAAACCTTCTCCCACAGACGCCTTGAGATTGTGGAGCAAAGGCCTTTGATAGGGGACTTCAAATGCAGATGGCCTGCTCTGTTTCAGCAGAGTGAAGTAAGTACATATTTGTATTTGTTGACAGTCTTTTATTATTGTCCTTTGTGATTCATGTCTACATCCTTGCATGGTTGTGATTCTAATAAACAAGTAACAATTGGTTGTATTGTGCTTGTTAATAATATTTTTAAGGTGAATGCGGAGTTTTTGAGGATCACAACATCACCACTTCAATCAAAGTTCATGTGGCAGCTGGACCACTTCTCAGACAAGCTCTTGAAGGTCTTCAAGATCAAAGGAGGACTAAAGGGCCACAAAATCAAGGAAGCCCGTGCAATATCAGATTTGGTTAGTATAAATGCAGAGAACCTCGTTTTTCACTGTATTGTTTTTGTCCATGCTGATATGAACACATTTAAGAAATTGTCTGCTTTTATAGTGTTTTTAAGGCAATAGCTTATTGTGGAAATGTAGGGGTAAGGAGTCCTGCTTAGGGACACACACGACAGATACAGCCCTCTACTTTGTAGACCTTCTCTGTTGCACATGCATTGTGCTTAATTGTCTTTGATTTATCGCCCCTGCTTTAGTTTGAAAACATCCACATCAAGAGGGGGTGCATCCTGCGAAGCATCGCGATCTACCTCAACGAGGATCCAGACTCTTTTTTTAAGGAGTATCAGGTATGTTTATCACAATATGTTTTCAATGTAGTGGTTAACAGTGTTACCCACAATTATAACCACCATTACTTACATTTATAATAAGAAAATTCTATGGCACACAACCCTATCCCTGCTTACATCTAAATATCTTATCACATATCATAAATACATGCATAAATAAATAAATGTATACATTAATATAGGAATGAATATATGTAAGAATGAATAAATACAGAAATAAAAAAATAATAATAAATAGATACAGAAGTAATTTCATCGGGCAAGTGTTAAAATAAATATAGAAAAAAGTGAATTAATACATTTATACAGATATAAATACATCTATAAATTAACATAGGAATACAATTGATAAATACAAATGTGAATTAAAACATGAATATATCTGGAAATAAATACAAATAATAAATGAATGCTGAAATAAATATTTACATTTATATATAAATACATCTATAAATGAATAAATAAATATGGACATGAATACATATGTAAGAACTTATAAATAATTGAATAAATACATAAATAAATGCTGAAATATATTAATCAATAGATTCATGTTTAAAAAGGTATGTGAATGCAGCAATTACTAAATTGTTAAAGGAATAATTACATAATCACATAAATCAAGGAAATAAATTATTAAATAATAAATAATCAAATACATATCGAAATAAGTAGGTAAATGCATAATTAACTACAGGAATAACAACAAATTACATGATTAAGTAGGGATGTAAACAAATAACTTAATACCTGAATTAATAAATAAGATAAAGTTGATAATCAAACAGAACATACAGGAATATATCTTTATAACTTATTTATGTAAACATTTTCTTACAAGCTTAATTTAGTTCTGTGTTGGAGGTCCTAACCTTCTCTGGTATCACTCTGGACATTTTTGTCCAAATTGGTAATTTTTCACATCAGATTTGGCTATAATGATTTTGTGTTTTTTCTAGATACTTTTTGGAATTTCAATTTTTCTAATCGGTCTCGAATACACTGTGTACAAATTACCCTAATTGTCCATTTAAAAAATGTCCCCCACACTTCCCAAAAAGTGTGGGGGAAAAATATTTAAATATAATATTGTTATCATATCATTTTATCATTCAAGTTTTTGAAAGTCGACATTTTTATCCTGAGTGGCCAGATTGGGTAGTACATTTGAGTGATACCAGAGGGTTAGTCTAAAACTGTTTTGATCAATGAGGAGAGCCACATAAGTAAATCTGCTTCTATAAAATGTAGTAATTCAGGTTTTAGTTAACACATGTGTTGTATGCTTGTGTCTTTGTTCAGGCCTCTGCCTCTGAAGATGCCAAGAGGGACATGGCAAACACAGTCATGGGCATATACACACTTCAAAGAGATGTGGATGGGCAGCCAGAGGACGTGGGAATTGTCATCGAAGGCAATATAGTCATGGACAACTTGGGCAGCGTGATTGTGGGGTTTGTCATGCTATTGGGACTTATTTATGCCCTGGATTTGAGCTTTCCGGACAACCTCAAACACACCTTCGAGTTCATGCAGAAGGTAGTGATGAATCTGGATGGGCACAAGCTGAATGGTAAAATCGAAAGTCTGAAGATCAAGAAGTTCGATTGAAATGTGAAAAAGAAGTGACTCATGAGTTCATTGTTGTCATTTTATTCACGAGTTTCCTAATCAGAGCAGATTGAGCCGTTATATCAATCATTTGTTCTGTGCTTTTCTGTATTTGTTTCAACACACTGTAACACTATTTCCATATGTTGGTGTTTGCAGTGCACTCTTCATGTTATGTGTTATTGTCCTGTTAGAAGAGCAGTGCATACCCCTGTTATATTGTATTCATTGTATTTGGCAAAGGGAGATTTGTAAGTTAATTATAGGAGTTCCATTTCTCTGCCATTTTAAAAATGGTATTATCTTTCAGAAATGTTTTTCATCTTTCAGTGTGAATTCATTCATTTTAAAACACTGTATTGAATGGAATGGAGGATTGTTTTGAATCATGTGAATTTAAAAATAAAAAAAACTAAACCATGTTTTCTCATGTGTAACACATTTTTATTAAATTATATTTAACCTCATTATTTCATTTTCAATTAATTAAATAGGATTTAGGTGGACTAGCATTATCTAAATTCATAAAGGTAATGTTATCATTTTACTTAAACTCTATTTGAAAAATTTGAGTTGGACTAACTCATTTACATTATACTGCATGGATGCCATTAGTTTGAGTTTGTGCCACATATATTTATTGGATGGAAAACCTGCCAACAATAAAATTGAGTTAATCCAATGAGTTATTTCTTTGAGTGCAGGTACAGCAAATGTGTTGTCTCTGTGTCCACTTAACATCAATTCAAACACCATGACACAATTCCATCAGATTAATGATAAAAACCTTGAGGACATTATACAACTTCTGAAATCCTCCTCTTGCTGCCTTGATATTATTCCAACAGGATTTTTCCAAGATGTTTTTCCTTGCATGGCCTCAGATCTACTTCATATAGTAAACAAGTCTCTTCACTCAGGTGTTTTTCCACAGGCTCTGAAAACTGCAGTCATTAAACCGCTCTTAAAAAAGAATAATCTAGACGCTTCAGTAATGAACAATTACAGACCCATATCAAACCTTCTATTTCTAGGTAAAATCATTGAAAAAGTTGTTTTTCAACAGTTGAGTAACTTCTTGCATTTAATTAGCTGTTTGGATGTGTTCCAGTCAGGGTTTCGTCCAAACCACAGCACTGAGACTGCTCTTGTAAAGGTCTTCAATGACATCCACTTATGGCGCATTTCCACTGCAGGGCCTCGCACGGCTTAGTACGGTATAGCTAGGCCTTGGTAGGCCAGGCTCACTGTATTCTGTGTTTCCAATACAGTTTAGAAACTGGGGCAGTAACTATAGTAACGCAGTGTAGGCGGAGCCGTGATGTCATCTTCAATGTGAACCACAAAACCAACATCAGCCGTTAGCCCTCAGAGCTCCTCATATCTGTTCAGAAACTAGACACAAGTTAAACAAGTACAAACCACAGACTGTCTGTGTCATGGTGAATACAGTCGCTGGGTTATTTATGTCTGTAGGCCGTTGTTGTGAGTGTGGACGGTCGGAGCATATACGGCGTTAGCTTAGCCAATCTCCATTCAGAAAACACGCATTTTAAAAGGTTTCTCGCCTGCCGTCTGTCTGCAGACTTGTCAAAGCATTAATTCATGGTTTTTACTAACCGGTATCAGCATGTTGTTACTTCGGCAAAACTGCTCCACCTGTTAGAAATCTGCTCAAAGATTGTTGGTCACCCTGTCAGAGACTTTCTGACTCACAGACCATAATAACCTGAGAGGCTGTCCAACAGCATCATCCGGGACCCAAAGCATGCTCTAACAGAGAATCTGAACTGCTACCATCTAATGGAGATTCACTAAAGTCAGACTGAAGCATCCTTTGTGCTCCAGTCAGTCCTCTCAGTAAACACAGAGCTCCAGATCAGATGCACGCTGAAGGCTCTTTGAGCAGCTCTCACTGATCCTGCTGTTATGTTACATGTTAGTTTCTCATGTATTGTGTTTGTCTTATGTGTCTATGTTGATGTTACACATGGAGCTGCTGTGATGCAAGTCACATTTCAGACTTGATCTGACAATTAAAGAATCGTAGACAACAACGTTCTAACCTCTATCTAGCCATATTGTGCATTCATATTGTATATTTCAAACAGGTTGTGATCTTTCATTTGGGGATAACAGTGTTAGGCATTCGTGAGGTGCAACAACATTAACATGAACCTTTCTGTTGGCTGCTTGTTGGCAGACCCTCCACGCGATAGCAGAGCGAACAGGTACAGCAAGCGAGGAATCATTGTCCACTAGTAAATCCATTGCAGATGGCGTCGTGCTCGCGGACGGATAAAAAAATAATAATGAATGGGTCGGGAAATATACTTTGGTGGCCGTTAAACCTGGGCGGCCCAAGTAAAGTCTATGTGAGGGAAACCCTGGACTAGAATTTTGAATTGAGCCGTCGCTTATAGATACTGTGGAAGCTATTCAGTATTTTTCACATTTATTTAATGTATTTATTTGTTATATTTTGTTTTGTAGAATTAATTTACAGCCATATTATTTGAGTTAAGTTGTGTTCCAGCTAAAATGCTTTTATTTTGAAGGTGATGGGTCAATTTGGGCACGCAGCTGGGTTTATTTAAGTCAATCAGGGCACAGCAGCAGTCAGTGGGCACCGGGAAGGTCTATGGTTTTTTATCAGTATCAGGGCTGAGTTCAGCAAACATTTCAACACCTTTTGCTGTATTGATCTTGCCAAGGTGAAGCTAATAAATACCACAAAAACGTTGATGCCTTGTCTGGACAATGGACTCATTACCAACTCATGATCTGCGTAAGATCCACTATACCTGGTGCCTCAGTGTCCTTTTGAAGTGTTATTGTTGTTGACAAATAGCCACTACAGATACTATTTCTTTACGTATTAGTGATGGGAATCCCGGCTCTTTTTAGTGAGTCGGATCATTTGGCTCGGCTCACTAAGAAGAGCCGGCCCTTTCGGCTCCCAAACGGCTCTTCATGTTACTACAGTTTACCAGAGCCTCAGTTTCGCCGCTGCGAGGCTCCGGCGGTCGCAGTTCACGCGCGTGCTCCACTAGCACAGGAACACGCTTTGCTGACGGTGAAAAGAATCCCACCAGACTCCTTTTCCACTCCAACAGAGGGATGTCCTTCTCCTTTTTCCTCATTTCAAGCGATAAAAACTCTTTTGGACGCCCTCGGCTCGAGTTCAGGGCGTTCCGAGCTGAATAAGGGCGTCAAATGACGGCAAGACGCCCGCCTGGCGGAAACGCTGGAATTAGGAATATATTGTGATGAAGTGCACACTGACCTGAGCTCCAGGGGTCTCTTTGTTCTCCTCCATGCTGCTCTCAGTTCTCCTTCTCCGGCTGGGTCTCTGAAATAATCAACACAACTACAGCTGACACAAAACAAGACAACTCAATACAACCAACAGACACAACAAAACTAATCTACTTCGTAGGTTCATAGCAGAGGTGAGAAGTAACTAAGTACATTTACTCAAGTACTGTACTTAAGTACTATTTAGAGGTACTTTCACTTTACTTGAATATTTCCATGTAATGCTACTTTGTCTGCAACAATAGGAGACAGCAATAAAGCTGCTTCACTGAAGAGGAGAAACTCACAGCTCCAGGACTCTGTAAGTCAGGAGGAGACTAGAAACAACAAGTCAATAAACTGAGGATTCATCCTGTAACATAAAGGAGTTACCCAACAGAAACCAGTATGCTAACGGTAATAAAGAAGAGTTACCGTACTAAAACAATATGCTGAAGGTAAAAGGAGAGCGTTTACTCAAACTAAACGGTATGCATATAACTTATGAATATACTGTGGGATAAATAATGTTAGAGAAAGTAATTATTAAGGTATCACACACACACACCTACCTGCTTTTAAGCTGGAAACACTGAGAAGACCACAGAGCTGCTTCAGGTCCTCTCTGGGAACAATGGGTCCTGATGAAGACCACAGAGCTGCTTCAGGTCCTCTCTGGGAACACTGGGTCCTGATGAAGACCACAGAGCTGCTTCAGGTCCTCTCTGGGGACACTGGGTCCTGATGAAGACCACAGAGCTGCTTCAGGTCCTCTCTGGGAACACTGGGTCCTGATGAAGACCACAGAGCTGCTTCAGGTCCTCTCTGGGGACACTGGGTCCTGATGAAGACCACAGAGCTGCTTCAGGTCCTCTCTGGGAACACTGGGTCCTGATGAAGACCACAGAGCTGCTTCAGGTGGAAAACTGTCAGGAGTGAAGAGGAGGAATTCAAAGAGTTTATTCAATGATATGTTCTATTTCTAGATGTTTATATGTAGTGTTTTATCACATCATGTGCAGTGCCTTGTCTCATCTATGCTGCTGTGACGTAAACATGTTCCAAATTGATCCATTTAGTCAATGTGATGTTAAGCAGAGGAGAACATGATAGAAAGGTCAGATAGTTATTAACATTACATGCAAATGACTTTAACCATTATGATAACAAGTTGGTTTTCTGTGTAAATGATTATTAATACAAATATTTAGATATAATTCATCATAATCTGTGTAGCAACTTACATTGTAACTTGCAGCTCAGTTTGTTCACTTTTGTTTCATTAAAATGACTTTATTCACATAGAAAGTGACATTAACGGTTGTTTGAACCACAGTTATAACGCTATCTGTGTCATTAACTATCACTAAGTTAACACAGAAAGCAAACATTAGCAAGTAAGACTGTTTAATGTACTCCATGTATTCAGTATATTGTGTATTCTTTAGATACTCTAGTGATGTGTGTCCCGTGTGTAAACTTGCTGCTAATGCTTCATTTTTATTATATCTTATTGTATCTTTTAAATATGCTTAACTTGTGTAATGCCTGAAAACACTTCTGCTGTGACACAATCGTTTCTCAGTTTAAGGTAAATAATTATTTAAATAAAGTATATCTATTTATCTAATGAGCTAAACCGTCGCTTAGCTTAGCGTTAGCTGCTAACTGAAGAACCCCATTCATTTCAATGGGGAAAATGCTGCGTCACAGAATGGCGATGCTAATAAGCATATATTTAAAACTATATCTATGGTAAAGAGCACCAACACAACAACTCAAACTGTCTTAAAGACAACTGGTGTAATAAATAACTAAAATAAAGTCAGCTTAGCATTACAAATCAACTGTTACTCACCCAGAGCCGAACTGGAATAATAACTGTAGCTGTTAGCTGTTAGCCGATAGCTTTTAGACGTTACATGTTAGACTTTAGCTTTTAAACTGTAGCTGTTAGCTGTTAGCCGATGGCTTTTAGACTTTAGCGGTTAGCCGATTGCTTTTAGATTTTAGCTGTTATACAATAGCTTTTAGCCTTTATTTAAAGATCATTTGAGACTATTTTTGGCGCACATTTAAAGTTTTTTTGTGAGTTTCTTTCTTCCAATATTACAGCTGTGTTAAATAAGATAACTTCTGATTCGTGATTAATTGTAAACTAAGCCAACCGGTGTAAATACACTTAATGAAACCTCTGCGTGTGTTTAATCCACTCACCTCTTCTTCTTCTTCTCTCGGTTTTTGGCGGATTGCAAAGAACTTTAAAGTCACGCCCATCTACTTCCGTCTTCTTCTTCTTCTTCTTTCGTGTTTATTGTCGGTTGGTAAACCAACTTGTAGGTGCATTACCGCCACCAACTGGACTGGAGTGTGGACAAGAGACTAAGCAGAAAACAATAAACAAAAGAAACAAAACAAAGAACCAAAACTCTAGATTATTTGAAATGTATCAATTTCTTAATTTAATAATCTCACAATATATATTGCCTGATGTTTTCCCTAACAGCCCTGATAGCGACAAGTCATGGAATTTAGCTTTCTTCAGTGTCTGGAAAAGCACATTTCTCTGAGTACTATATTTCCTGCAAAGCAGTAAAACATGCTCAACAGTTTCTGGCTGGCTACAGTGTATACACTTTCCGGTTGGATGCTTTCCTATTATAATAATAATAATAGATTTAATTTATTAGCGCTTTTACAGGTGCTCAAAGACGCTTTACAGATATAGTGAAGATAAAATAAAATAAAGGAACAACAAATAAATATATAGTTAAAGTCAAATAATACAAAAACAATCACACATTAAAAGCCAGATTGAAGAGGTGAGTTTTTGTGAGTGTTTTGAAGGTGGTGAGGTCAGTGCAGTCTCTGATGGGTTGTGGGAGTGAGTTCCAGAGGGAGGGGGCAGCGACGGAGAAGGCTCTGTCCCCCCAGGTCCGGTGATTGATGCGGGTGGGGATGGATAGGAGGTTGGCTTCTGATGAGCGGAGGCAGCGGGAAGGGGTGTGGTGGTGCAGCAGGTCTGTGAAGTAGGGGGGGGGCTGATTGTTGAGGGCTTTGTGAGTAATCAGGAGGACTTTGAAGTTGATTCTTTGACGGACGGGGAGCCAGTGGAGGTTCTGGAGGACGGGAGTGATGTGGTCTCGGGACGGGTGTGGGTGAGGAGGCAGGCAGCAGAGTTCTCGATATGTTGGAGTTTATTGAGGAGGTTGGATGGTATGCCGTAGGATGCTATTGCAGTAGTCGAGTCGTGATGTGATGAATGCATGAATCAGGGTTTCAGCAGCAGAGGAGGAGAGTGATGGGCGGAGACGGGCAATGTTTTTGAGGTGGAAAAAGGCGGTCCTGGTGATGTGATTGATGTGGTGGTTGAATTTGAGCTGACTGTCGAAGATGACTCCGAGGTTGCGGATGTGAGGGGGGAGATAGAGTGTGGCTGTCAATGGTGAAGTTGAAATTCTGGATGTCTTTGATACGGGATGGGGGGCCGATGATGATGATGTCTGATTTGGCACTGTTCAGTTGGAGATAGTTTGTTTGCATCCATGCTTTTATTTCTGAGAGACAGTTGGTGAGAGTGGAGTGTGTTGTGGGGGTGATGGTTTTTGTTGAGATATATTAGGATGTCATCGGCGTAGCAGTGAAATTGAAGGTTGTGGCGACAAAATATTTTGCCAAGGGGGAGCATGTAGAGGATGAAGAGGAGGGAGCCAAGCACCGAACCCTGGGGGACGCCTTGGGACAGAGGAGCAGTGGAGGAGGTGCAGTTGTTGATGTTGATAAACTGATGTCTGTCGGTGAGGTAGGATTTCAGGATTTATTATACTTAATGTATGATTGAGACCTGTATGACCTATTCTCATCTGAGAAATGATATTGTCCTCCCTTCTTTTAAACCCCACCTTCCTTCCATCCCCCACATACCTTTGAATTTTATAAAGATGTCTTCCTGTATCACTAAGTTCCCAATGATCTTGCCATGCTGTTTGTGCATATTTCTGTATGAATGTTTTAACCTCCGCTTTGCTGAGTGGAACTTCTATGTCTATGTTCATACTTCTGAGTGTTTGTTTGGCCAGAATATCCACCTGTTCATTTCCCTCCACACCAACATGAGCAGGAACCCAGATGAAACGAGTTGCTATGCCTTTGATTTGCATTTTATATCAAATTAGAAATACTTCAGGGTTTCCCAGACTATACTTGGGCGGGCCGCCCAGGTATATTAACGGCCGCCCAAGTATATTTCGCGACCCATTCTTTTTTTTTTTTTTTTTTTGTATAAGTTTTTTTTGTATTTTTTTTTTTTTATTCGTCCGTGACCACGACGCCATCTGCGATCGATTAACTTGTGGACAATGATCCCTCGCTCCCTTGCTCTGATCTCGCCTCGTTAAGTGGCCTGCCTCACACAGGGTGACTGGCTGTCTACATGATGTGGCCTGCCAACATGGCCACTGTCATAGAGATCATAAATCAAAGCCCTTGATTGGTCTCTGTGTGTCATTCAAGCTCGGGATAACCTCAGCTCAGGTGAGGTAACGGAGCGTCCACACAGCAGCGTGCGTTGACGCTTGGAGGTGGGCGTATCTGAAGCTTGGGGATTTTTTGCGAGCAACACGACCAACAACTAATCACATGAATCTCCCGCCCCCGACATACAAAGCAATAGCAATGTTAAAACGAAGTAAACTGGATATAAAATCCCCAAACAGGCGAAAACCTACCAGTTTCACCCACTGTCTCTGCCTCCTCCCTCCATGCCTCGCTCCTCCGGTTTGTATCCCGGTAGATGAACAGAGACTGATCATACAGCACCGGGTGATTCACTACCGCTACAATGAATTTCCCCTCAATTTTTTTGAATATGAGGAAATGACCTGCGTAGTCTCTCCCAGCATACACGCGGTTTGATTGGCTAGCGATTGTACTGGCAGATTTGAATAAACGGGATTTCATTGGCTGACGCCTCCGTCGAGGCGTCAAAAGTTGAACATTGCTCAACTTTTGACGCCAGATACGCCAGCAACGCTCCACGTCGCTTCCCAAAATGCATTTCGGCTAAAAGTGACGTCACCCCATTCAAAGTGAATGGGCAGAAGCGTTGGAAGCTTCAACGCACGCCGCTGTGTGGACGGGCCGTTAAGGACTCTCTGAGTGTTTAGATAGTTAACTTAGTTTAAGTTCTCAGTGGGTCTCAAACAGTGTGGTCACCATTTATGTAAACACATATTTCCATTTGAGAGGGTAGTGATTGATCTAATGGATAGTGAGGTGGGCTGAAGATAGGAAGGCTGTGAGTTCAAATCCCGCCAGGAACACTACCACTAGTGTGCCCTTAAGTGCCATCTTTACGCAAAATGATTATACAAAATGATTATACAAAATGAAAACTTTTTTTTTTTTTTGCGCACCCCCCCCCCCCCCCGCCGCTGCCACCACCCACCCAAGTATATTTCAGATCTGTGGGAAACACTGTACTTAATATATGATGTCCATTCTAGATGAAGATCTGCCTGATCGTATACTCGATAATGCTGAAAAGCTGTCAGGTGCGATTACACTATTATGTATTTCTTTCTCCTCTATCCATTTCAATGACAACACCAATGCCAACAACTCTGTGGTGTATACTGACACATGGCCTGTTACCCTTTTCTTTATATGTGTATTACTCACTGGGATATAAACTGCTGCCCCTGCACGCCCTGTCTCTGGATCTTTGGAGCCATCTGTAAATATGATTGTTGAGTCCGAGTGATATCTTGCAAAATAATTCTGGACTATGCGCCATAGTATATTGAGGTCTACACTTGGCAATGGGAACAACCAGGGCAGTGGCGGTTCTAGACCAATTTGACTGGG